CATACATATTTGTGCTCTGCATTTTACCCATCCAAGTGCACACACAGCAGTGAGTATTGAACACACACACACACACGGAGCAGGTTTTTTTGCTACGTCGCCCGGGGAGAGAATGGGGGTTAGGTGCCTTGCTCAAGGGCACCTCAGCTGTGGGTAATGAGAGTGGAAGAGTGCTGTTCATTCACTCCCCCCACTCATATTTCCTGCTGGTACTGAGACTCGAACCCACGACCTTCGGGTTACAAGCCCGACTCTCAACTGCCCCGTAATATGCTGATTCTTTGCTCTAGAAACATTTATTATTATTATCAATGTTGAAAACAGTTGTGCTGCTTAATATTTTTGAGGAAATTTTTTTATATTTTGTTTTTGTTTTTTAAGTTTCAGGATTCTCTGATGAATAGAAAGTTCAAAAGAACAGCATTTATTTGAAATAGAAATCTTTTATAACGTTATAAATGTCTTTAATGTCACCTTTGATCAATTGAATGCATTGTTGCTAAATAAAAGCAATAATATCTTTCAAAAATCTTACTGACCCTAATCTTTTGAATGGTAGTGTACTTTTTTGGCCAGATGCACGATAACATGCCATTTACTTTTTAACACCCTAACCTCACAGCGACAAGTTTTCCACCACTCAGATGTAAAATTCTAATTTTAGTCACACTGAAACACCAGGCACAACACTGCAGCGCAAAGAAACAAGTACAGGCTGGAGGAACATTATTAGTCCCTTGTACCAAATGATTCCTCTTTAGCTGTGCCATCTCAGATCTGTCTAAGACTGAGATGGTAGACATCTTCAGAGGCAGAATGTGTCCTCTGCATGTCGAAGGCTGCGCTACCTTGCCATTCGCTCTACAAACAGATATATGAGGCTGAGAAGCACCCTGTGGTATTAATTAGCCAGTAGCTGATCCTGCTTCACTGTACAGTGGCAGTCAATGCTAATGCAGAAGGACCTACCAGGATATATGGCATGTGGCCAGATCCGGTGAATAACATCCCCCTCCAATTACATTCTCCTCCTCTCCATGTCCTTCAACTTAGGACCAGTCATGAAATCAAGATGGTAACCTACTATGAAAAATCTTTTGAGATTTACATGCAACATTCATATGCTGTCTATCGGTCCATTCAACCATGTATATCCATCCATCCATCCAGTCAAATCTATTTTTAATATACATGCAAAAAAAAAAAGACATTCAGTCTTGTACAATAAAAATAACAGCAATGGTATCAAAATCCATCCATCCATCCAAATCTATTTGTAATATACATACAAAAAAACAGACATCAATTGTTTGCGTGTATGTATCCATCCCTCCACCCATCCATCTAGCCAATCAATCAATCAATCAATCAATCTATCTATCTATCTATCTATCTATCTATCTATCTATCTATCTATCTATCTATCTATCTATCTATCTATCTATCTATCTATCTATCTATCTATCTATCTATCTATCTATCTATCTATCAGTCAAGTGCTGTACAATAAAAAAAACAGCAATGTGAAAAATAATGAAATAAAATAAACAAAGTTACCAGGAATAATAAAAAAAATAGTAGTATCATTATAAAATAACCAGAGAATCTATCAAAGGAGGCGAGCTAATGGTTACACCACTCCAAAACAACACGAGTTGCCCACATTTTTTTTGGGACATATATCCAGGTGAAAATGTAAACCGAAGAGTCTGATTTAACCTGCCAATTGTCTCTCAGGGGAGTAGAGAAGTCAAGAGAGCAGTCAGTAGAAAGACTGGCCTCTTGAATTTATCATGCCTGGAATCAATGGTTCTTCAGTCTCTAGCTACTTGTTAGCAGAGATCAAACCACCTTTTGAGGTCTCTGGAAATAGAGGCGGGGAACCTCAATGACCCTAACCTTAACACAGACGCAACCGCGCCGCCATTCAGAACACACAAGTGTGTCGAACCCTGAAGATACTGTCCTCCTGTGATAATTTACTCCTACCTGCATCACGATGGATTAATTAGGCCTGCAGAGAGCTCTGGCACTGCGCACAATCATTTACAAGAGGCTGGAGGGGTCTTACCATCCCAAACTAATTGGCACAACAATCAAGAGTGCTTTTAACAGAGGTGAGAGCGGGAAAGAAAAAACGTGGAAGTTTGATAAATGGACTTAGACAAAGAAAATACACTTCAAGAGAAAGAGATATCTCTGTCTGAAATCTACACTGTAAAAAATATTTTTGAATGTAAATAAAAACAAAATTGAAATGAGCATGATTTACAAGGAATTACTATTGAATGTTTAATTCAATGTGCTGAGTTCCGTTTCTTTGCAATTATTTGTGAAATTTAATTTCTAAGATAAAATTGCTTCAAATTAAATCCCACACCAATTTCTTTCTTCAGTCAGTGTATAGTTTACTGTGACTGGCTAATAGGAACAACATTTTTATTGACCAATCAGATTTTAGGGATACAGAAAGGGTTAGGTTTAGGCTTATATCTTTATCAACCAATAAGTTCCCTGTGATTTAAGCGGTGACTTTAAGAGGACAACATATGTTGATCCATGAAATGCATTTTTGTGCATTTAAAAACATTGAAACAGAATGAAATGAAACAGAATTCAAGATTAATTTGAAAAAGTTGAACTGCTGTCTTAAAAGAAGCACACAGAGGAAACAAACACAGTGGGGGAAAACCCAACATGATGGGATGCAATGGCGAAAGACATCCATCTGACACATGAGTACCCAGACCAACAATCAAAAAAGTTATGTATCTTGTGGGAAAAGTCCTTTCATTTTAGGCAGCTCTACAAGATAATAAGCAAAAGACCTAAAAGATTAAACAACAACAAGACCTCAATGTCATTGGTATTACAATGTAAAGAATGTGACATTTGTTCCAAGACATTGTGCATTAGGGATTAATGTGTTATTTCATTAGATGCATTTTGATTGATGCGACAAGTAGGGGATGTAGAAAATCACCTCTGCTGCAATGAGATTTTGATTGTGTCTATGGCAGTTTGAAACTGGCAATCTATCCTCAAAGCAATCTGCAAAGCAGCCATTCTTCTCCTCTCCCTCCTCGCCCGTCCGCTCAGGGGGAAAACCAGTGTAGCTCTTTATAAAGAGTCAAACAACCAGACCTAAACAACCGCAAAGGATGTTTAGCTGAGCAGAAAGTGTTGTTTCCTCACTGATATCACACGCCAAACCTACTCTGCCACAAAGACTTGTGTTCACAAAGCAATTAGATGGGAACAGTGCTAGTGCAATGATTATGAGTTGTTGTCATCTGCAATCAAAGTATTAATTTCTTTCAAATTATAAAATTATAAAACACCTTTAATTAATCATTCTGGGATGTACAAGCCAAGAACAAGCCAATTAATTTGATTAAGGCACAGAACAGTAAACCATGTCTGTGTGTATATATATATATATATATATACACACTTGATTAATGCATGTCTTTCAGTGTTTTTCAATAATTTTTTTTTTTTTTTTTACTTTTTTAATGATGGCACAAATAAATAGAATCTGGAGTGATATGGAATTAAAGTATAATCAGAAATAAAAATGGAAACATTGCGCAACAAGTCAAATGACATGTTTATTAAGAAAACATAATGGCCAAATAAAGACATCTCAATATTCACCAGCATATTCAATATACTGTATCGCTCAGTCCTAACAACTAGCATGGTAAATACAAAGGGAAAGCATTCATATTATTGCAGACACAACAATCCCAAATATCCTAAAACAGTCCATAGTCTGTCACAACTTAAGGGCTCTATCGCTGATCGATTTTCATTTGCATTTCAATCTGCTTGCTTTCACCGACTGTCTGAAACAGAGTCACTTTTCCTCTGAGAGCTGCACCCACTCCTAGTTTTAGACATTTGCCAATTGTTCTCCATTCATTTCACAAGCCTAAATACATAAATTACCCCCACCAAAATTAAAAATCCCATCCAAACAAAGTAATGGGAATCTTTGCATATTTATGAAAACTGGAAGAGCTCTCCATCAACGTGGGTTTGGTGCTGTTCTCACTCTCGATAGCGTCCATTAATATGCACACCGCACGTATTTTTGAAGTGGGTTCGTGTGACAGGGCGTGCTGTCTTCTGTCAAACTCCACAAACACTCCATATCAACAGACTGCAGATAATAATAGAGATAATAGCGGGTTGAAGCCTGCATCAAATACACACAGTGTTGTTTTTTGACGTTAACGCGTGGGCCTCGTCTACTCTGGCTCTTCTCAACAAGTGTCTACGTCCCTGAAATCTTTCTGCGTCCAGGTCCGGTAGAAAGGGTGTGTCTGACCCGTCAATCAAATTTGTTTATGGCGCTGCTGTTGGCCAGCTACATGCTGACATTGCTTCTGCCGTGAGACCTGGCGAACCTGCCAGGAACAGAAGACCATCCATCAAGCCGACAGTCAGGCAATACAAACCACTCGGAGGGCGAGAACACACACGTCCTTCCAGTGCCAGATTTATCGCCCTCATATATACGCTTCACTGATGGATACCACATAAATGCCCTATCAGAATAGCTGGATTAAAGCCCCACCCACAATGTCATTCTTCACTCTCACTGGCTTGTACATCAGCAAAAAAGGTCATCTTATGTTATTATTCTTCTTTTTTTTTTTAGATCATGGTATGAAAGCTAGTATTTCAAAATTTCATTTCCAATTTTCTCGTTCTATAAGTGTTTTCTTGACCTTTCTACTACCTATATGTAGAGAGATGGGAACCGGGTCAGGAAATGACAAAAGCTGGATTCAAACTCGAATCGCCTACAAATAAGCCCTAAAATATCAGAATGTGAGCAAACCACAAACCCACAGGCCTGATGTCACTATTAAAGCATCAATTAGACACTTAAAACAAAGTGTTACGGTGATTGGTTTATAATTTAAATAATTACATCTATCAGAATACAATTTAACAGGGATAGTACATACACATAAAAATCATTTACTCACCTCATGTCGTTCCATATCTGTATGACTTTCTTCTGTGGAACATAAGAAAAGATATTTTGAGAAATGTGTTTTGTTTTTTGGTCCATACAATGAAAGTCAATGGGCTCCACATTCTACAAAATATCTTCTTTGGCGTTACACAAAAGAAAGCAATGCAAACTGGGTTTTGAACGACAAAAGGGTATATTTTGGGGGAGTAATTTGGTTTAAATAAATACAATTATATAAATAAAATAGCTAGATACAGTTCTAGCCTAATTAATGGCATGCAAAAAATGGCAACTTGGCTCATTATATATACAACAAAATTGAATGTGGCTCATCCAATCAGAAGTAAGATTCTGAACAACGCATTTTGCAAAACAGTTTGAATAACAGGAAAAATGCTCCACATTACAAACAATAGCAAATATACATCTTTAAATCCATGCTTAAAAATCACATTAACTGTAAATGGAAGTGTAAGATACAAAACAGAATGACTGTAAATAACAACCCAAGATACTTATGACAACAAATAACCTGACAAGAAAAAATTCTGACATAAACTTTTTAAATTAATCCGCCTTTAAAAAAAAATAGCAGCAACATTTTTAGAAGAATCAATCACAGATTTGGTGCTCTGACAGGTTTAAGAAACTCTTTGTTAGACGAGCACACTCACTTTAACATAACTGCTGATGTCTTTTTTTGCTGAAGTAGCAGCGTTTTAATTCTAAAGGATTCCAAAATGCAAAAAAAAAATAAAAAATAAAAAAAAATCATTAAATATCCATTATTCTTTGTTCCTTGCACTTGTCATCCTCATCATTTCTTCCTCCTTTCTTTCTTACACTCCCACTCTATTCCAAAACCTAGTGCGCTTCACAAACAATTTTTTCCCGCAAAAGGTATACACAGTATCTTAATTATGTTGTCTTCTAAGAACATATTCAACATTGATAAGCTTGGGGTCTGTAAGAAGTCTTTTATGCTCACCAAGGAACAAAGAATGTGAAATATAACAATTTAAAATAACTATTTTATATTTGAATATATTTTAAAATCCTGTGATGCAAAGCTGAATTTTCAGCATCATTACTCCAGTGACACATGATCCTTCAGAAATCATTCTAACCTGAGAAATTTGAATATTTTGCAACATTATAAATGTCTTTACTGTCACTTTTGATCAATTTAATACTTCCTTGCTAAAAGTATTAATTTCTTTAAAAAATAAATCTTACTGACCCCAAATTCATGATGGCAAGAGAAAAGTTGACCTTAAATAAACTAAACAAGTACCAATAGAAATTGTTAGTATGTCCTATTTACTTTTATGTTAGAATATTGTGCCAACATGTGAATGCCAAACTCCACTGAAATCTTTTGAATCGCGTCTGTCATGCAGAGCGCTGATGTATTCCATTGCAAACACTGATTATGTAGGCATAGGCAATGAGGCAACACACCAGGTCTCGAAAACAGAGCTTTTGTCTGTTTTCATGCTTGTTTTAGTCCTCACCTCAGACATTTCAAAGGCTAACACTGTATCTAAAAGGAAACCTGTGGAAATGTATTAATACAATCGGCCCAGAATTGAATCAGAACCAAACATTAGAACTGAGATGGCTCTATATTGAATTATGGCTCTCAGATGCACGTTGAGTAGATTCTCATATTTTTTCCAGGCTGACTGTAGAGCATCCAGTGCCTGAGATAAAAAAGACAACATATGGGCTAGATTCACTGACTTGAATATGTATAAAACATCTAAGAAAGAGATCATCTAACAAAACCTTTGCTGTGATGTGCTTGAGGCTGATCCTCAAACCAAGATGAAAACAGACATCAACGTGGTGAAATTATTTTATTGCTATATGAAAAGAGGGACCTGCACAATGACATCAAAGCAAACATTGAGAGGATATTGTTTTGATAATATTTGCAGACTTTCAGAGAACAAGTGGATGGACACGGACATTAAAGTCAACACAAAATAGCATTCCACTTCTCCATTATGACATATTTCCAAGTAAAATGTGATATTCTGTCAGGAGTTTATATTTGTCTATATATGATATGCATTTTTTTTTTGAATAACATGCACTGGTGAATAATGCACAATAACATGTATGAAAAAAATATGTTACTGGTCTTATCCAATTTGTTTTCATGTTGACTTTAAATGGAGGGGAAAAGAAAAAATGCAAGAGGAAAGGAAAGAAATGAAATGAAAAATGTCATTCCTTAGCATCTGTCAAACGTACCTATGTTTTATCTTGTGTTATTCAGCAAATGTTCTGCCTATAACGCAGGGAGGAAATAATATATTGTTCCTGTCTTGGCCAGTTGTACTCCAGATCAGCTGTGAAATTCTTCATTGTTGTTCGAAGCAGGTACAACAAGCATATCTAGACACAAGACCAGAGTTTCTCAACCAGAGCCGGGTTCTTTGAAGAGGCTAGAGAGGCAGTGCCTCCTCAAAAACATTTGAAAAAAAAGAAAAAAAGATAGTACCACAATAAAGCAAAGCAAATATTATGAAATATGAGATCAAATAGTATTTAACACCCACACCCTGATATCTCTCTCTTTTGGCTTGTCGAATTCCGACCATGCAACCACAATGGGACCTCTGACCATGTTGAGACTGGGTTCACCATTCTTTGACCTCTGTGTGACCTTTTATGTGCGAGTGAGAAATAGTGTGTGTACAACCAAAAGATCATCAACCCATTTTCATCCTGTCCAAAGACTGAAAAGTGTGGTGGAGAGCCTTTAGGGCTTGACAGATAAAAAACAACAACAACATCAACAAATAAAATACCCCACATGACCACAGGGTCAAGCAACCACCATTGCTGACCTGAGCTTTTTTTTATTCTCAACTCCACAGAGGTGCATTCAAGGGACAGCATATATATATATAACTTTTGAATGTGTGTGTATATGTTTCTATATCATGACAACTCTCTAAAGATTTTTAGCATGGTAATGGATATGACTATGTTAAAGGGGCGGTTCAGAATTTTGGACATCGGGCCTCATGCGGATGCCACATGAACCAGCTTGCAACAAGTAGTAACGCTATAAATATCATCAGCTTGCGATAAGGACCCATCAGCCTTCGCCATCTTATACACTACAGTTCAAAAGTTTGGGGTCAGAAAGATTTTTTGAAAGAAATGAATACCTTTATTCAAGAAGGATGCATTCATTTGATCAAAGTTAAAGTCAAGACTTTCAAATTGTTATAAAAGATTTCTATTTAATATAAATGCAGTTCTTTTGAACTTTCTACTCATCAAAAAATCCAGAAATTTCTGTTTTCGAAAAATACACAACTGTTTTCAACGTTGATAATAATAAGAAATGTTTCTTAAGCAGCAAATCAGCATATTAGAATGATTTCTGAAGGATCACGTGACACTGAAGACTGGAGGAATGATGCTGAAAACTCAGCTTTGCATCACAGGAATGAATTAGAATAGAAAATTGATATAGAATAGAAAAACTGTTATTTTTTCTATGCTAATAAATAATTTATTTTTGTTTATTTTGATTTCAGGGTTAACCCGGAGAGGTCTTTGTTAGATTCACAAAGTCTTTCAACAACTCACAGAATAAATCCCACAAAAATTTATCAATTTAGTTTAGTGTGTTTGCTGCCAGTGCTTGTGATACAAAGATTGTGGTTCTTCTGTAAATACAATTTATGCCACCTCTGTGCCGCATTGCCTAAAAACTGTTTTCAAGTGTTTCGATCTCTCAAACATGTAACCTTTAAATGACAACATATCCATGATAAGGCCATAGCACTATCATCTTCATACATAGTATATGCACTAAAATCTGAATCTGATTAGCTGAAGCCTCAAGGTCTTGAGTGGGAGCTGTGGGTGACTGTGAAAAGTGCCGAAAACACGGAGCACGAGAAGAGAGAGGATGCTGTCGGACAAAAGAAAGACAAGGCCACATATCCAAGACTGCTAAATAATTTGTTTAAACTTCTGTATGTTCCAAGAGATGTGCCTTTGAATACATATGTAGAAATTAATTTTTTGTAACTACTCAATAGTTAATAAAAAGAATGATTTTGGTCAAATAAATGCATATAATTAAAATGTGTAGGGTGTAATGGAAAAGTAATATAACTAGTAGTGTAACGAATTACTGTTGCCAGGAAAAGTAATAATATTACTTTTGAAAGGAGTAACCAGTAACGATCAATTAATAAAATGTTTTGAGTAACGAGTCCAACACTGTCTGTACATTATGAAAACATAATCAAAATGAAAAACTGCTGTTACCGTAAAGCTAAATATTTAACGGTGTCAGAGTATTAAAAACGGTTATCTAAAAGTCCCTCCTCACTTTATCCGTATTCATTAAACAGTAACTTTTCAATTAAGCAAGTCTGACTGATTTATTTACAATTCGACATAAAAGAAAGTCACGCTGCACTGTGATTCTTGCATTTGGGTTTGGGTGGGGGGTTTCTCATGTCACATTTGTGTTGTTCCATTTACATCCATAATTTCTGGAAGTCTTTGAACCTCGCAAAGACAAACTAAAGGCTTTGCATGAAGGGAACTCCAGTGGAGCACTGATACCCAACAACCGGCGAGTACACATTACGATCACATATTTGCCTTGCTTTGGTGAGGTTTAGATGATGTACACACAGTTGTCTCAGCATTTGCAATGCAAACAAGTGAGAATTTGCTGAGATAGCAAGTGGTATGAAGGAATCAATGATGAAACCCAGTGGAAATGTGTGGCTTTCATTTTGAGGTTTTTTTTTGGTTTACTTTTGTATGATGTCCAAAATAAAATCCTGAAGCAAAACCAGGTTTTAATGCAGCTTAATAGAGAATTGAGCTCTGAATTAAAACATTTGAATCCTACCTGGCACTAACCACTGGCTGAGCAAATTAATTTAAGGGATTGTACATACACAGACACACACACACACACACACACACACACACACACACACACACACACACACACACACACACACACACACACACACACACACACACACACA